AAGGCTTCCGGCAAACCACCAGGACACAGGACTGCGGCAGAGTCACAGCCTCAGAAGGAACCAACTGTGCCAACACCTTGCTCTGACTTCCAGGCCTCCAAAACTATGGGAGGGAATTTCTGTTGTCTACGCCACCAGGACACTAACACAAATGCCTGCAGATGCTGGGCAGGCAGCTGAAGCAACTGGAGTGGGTATGACTGTAGGTCACCACCTTGAGAGGGCTCCGAAGCGAATCGCCCTGAATTGCAGTGTTATAGTCAGCAAATTGCCCCGAATTACAGTCAGCAGCCTGGAGGTGAAGGTATGTGGCAGGCAGAGCCCAGAGGAGACCTGGGTCCCCAGCCTCAGCAAGGAGGACAAGGACAAGCAGACCACCCAAGGGACAGAGCTGGGTCACCCTACCACACATCCGGATTAGTCCAGCCACTGGGGAGAAATAGAAACTCAGGCAAAGCACACACTCCTGGCAAGCAGCCAAGAATCCTGCACGACCAGTGTGGTCCCCTGGATCTCCACGTGTGGCAGGTGGCACCCCCTCCACCCCAATGCCTGGCATGGCCGACCTGGATACAACATCTAGGAAACTCAGAATGGAAAGCCATGTGGGGATGGCCCTAAGCTTTTTTTGAGACAGAGTCATCCAGGCTAGAGTGCAGTGGCACGATTTCAGCAACCCCCACCTCCCAGGTTCAAGCAGTTTTCCTGCCTCAGCCTCCCGAGTGGCTGGGATTACAGGCATGTGCCACTGCACCGGGCTAAGTTTTGTATTTTTAGTAGAGATGGGGTTTCTTTCACCATCTTGGCAAGGCTGTCCTCAAACTCCTGACTTTGTGATCCACCCACCTTGGCCTCCTGGAGTGCTGGGATTGCAGATTTGAGAAACCGCACCCAGTCAGCTCTAAGCTCTTTTTTTTTTAGATCAAAGGCTGGCAGGGAGAAGGTCTTGCTCTGTCTCCAGGCTGGAGTGCAGTGGTGAGATCTCAGCTCACTGCTGTCTCTGCCTTCCAGGTTCAAGCAATTCTCCTGCCTCAAGTCCCACTAGCTCCCCACATGGCCTCAAACTACCACTCATCCTCCCGGGAAGCCCTCCCAGCTAGATGCTCCCTGCAGCTGTTCCACCCCCATTCCCACACCTGGACCCTCTGGCCAGCTGCCAGCCGAATGAAGTCTCTGGTGTCACAATCTTCTCAGTGTAAACCAAACAGTATCTGAGACAGGTCTCAGTCAATTTAGAACCTTATTCTGCAAGGTTGTCATGACCTGTGACATGCCTCAGGAGGTCCTGAGAATGTGGCTCCAAGGTGGTTGGCTACATATTTTTTTTTTTTTTTTTTTTTTTTTTTTTTTTGAGACAGAATCTTGCTCTGTTGCCAGGCTGGAGTGCAGTGGCAAGATCTCGGCTCACTGCAACCTCCGCCTCCTGGGTTCAAGCAATTCTTTTGCCTCAGCCTCTGGAGTAGCTGGGACTACAGGTGTGTGCCACCACGCCCAGCTAAGTTTTGTATTTTTAGAGACGGGGTTTCACCATGTTGGCCAGATGGTCTCAATCTCTTGACCTCGTGATCCGCCCGCCTCAGCTTCCCAAAGTGCTGGGATTACAGGCCACCACGCCCCTCCTGGTTGGGTACATCTTGATTTCTTTTTCTGTTTTGAGATAAGTCTTGCTCTGTTGCCCAGGCTGGAGTGCAGTGCTGCAATCGACGGTCACTGCAACCTCTGCCTCCCGAGTTCAAGCAATTCTCTTGTCTCAGCCTCCTAAGCAGCTGGCACTACAGGCACACACCACCACGCCGGCTAATTTTTGTATTTTTAATAGAGATGGAATTTTACCATATAGGTCAGGCTGGTCTCGAACTCCTGACCTCAGGTGATCCTCCCACCTTGGCCTCCCAAAGTGCTGGGATTACAGGCTTGAGCCACTGTGCCCAAATGATTTTTTAAAAATCTGATCCTTTTCTAAATTTTTTAAATTATTGAGGGTTTTTTTTTTTGACAGTCTTGCTCTGTTGCCCAGGCTGGAGTGCAGTGAGGCGAGCTCAGCTCACTGCAACCTCTGCTTTCTGGGGTCAAGTAATTCTCCTGCCTCAGCCTCTGGAGTAGCTGGGATTTCAGGTGTCCACCACCGTGCCTGGCTAATTTTTGTATTTTTAGTAGAGATGGGGTTTCACCATGTTGACCAGGCTGGTCTTAAACTCCTGACCTCAGGTAATCTGCCCACCTAGGCCTCACAAAGAGCTGGATTACACATGTGAGCCACTGCGCCCAGCATTTTTTTTTTTTTTTTTTTTTTTTGAGACAGAGTCTCACTCTGTTGCCTAGGCTGGAGGTCAGTTGTGTGATTTAGGCTCACTGGAACCTCCACCTCCACGTGCAAGCAATTCTCTTGCCTCAGCCTCTGGAGTAGCTGGGATTTCAGGCGTCCGCCACCGTGCCTGGCTGATTTTTGTATTTTTAGTAGAGATGGGGTTTCACCATGTTGCCTAGGCTAGTCTCCAACTCCTGACCTCAAGTGATCCACCCACCTCAGCCTCCCAAAGTGCTGGGATTACAGGCATGAGCCACTGCACCCAGCCTACAGCTTGTTTTTATACATTTTAGGAAGACAGAAGTTACAGGAAAAGACATAAACGGACAGAGGTAAGGTATACGTTGGTTTAGCCCAGAAAGGTGGAACATCTTGAAGCGGGGGTGGTTTCCAGGTCACAGGTAGATTGAAACATTTGCTGACTTCAGCCTGGGCAATGGTTAAAAGAGTTAAGCTCGGCTGGGCGCGGTGGCTCAAGCCTGTAATCCCAGCACTTTGGGAGGCCGAGGCGGGCGGATCACAAGGTCAAGAGATCGAGACCATCCTGGTCAACAAGGTGAAACCCCGTCTCTACTAAAAATACAAAAAGTTAGCTAGGCATGGTGGCGCGTGCCTGTAATCCCAGCTACTCAGGAGGCTGAGGCAGGAGAATTGCCTGAACCCAGGAGGTGGAGGTTGCGGTGAGCCAAGATCGCGCCATTGCACTCCAGCCTGGGCAACAAGAGCGAAACTCCGTCTCAAAAAAAAAAAAAAAAGAGTTAAGCTCTGCCAGAAGAGCTGAAATTAGCTTAATTTATGGTAAGTGGGGGGTGGTTGTGGAAGCCAAAGTTCTTATCTTGTAGATGAAGCCTTCAGGTAGCAGGCTTCAGAGAGAAGAGATGTGAATGTCAAAGGCTGCCACTCACAACTGTAATCCCAGCATTTTGGGAGGCTAAGGCGGGCAGATCACCTGAAGTCAGGAGTTCGAGACCAGCCTGACCAACATGGAGAAAGCCATCTCTACTAAAAATACAAAATTAGCTGGGCGTGTAATCCCAGCTACTCAAGAGGCTGAGGCAGGAGAATCACTTGAACCCGGGAGGCAGAGGTTGTGGTGAGCAGAGATCATGCCATTGTACTCCAGCCTGGGCAACAAGGGTGAAACTCCATCTCAAAAAAAAAAAAAAAAGAAAATGAAAGTACACTCCACAGGGTGGGAGAGACCCAAGCATGGGGGCTAATTCTTTGGGGTTTAAATACCCTTTAGAAGTTTCCATTGGTTACTTGGTGATGCCATATGTAAATAAAGGGATGAAGTAAAGTCACCAAGTCATTTACTTGGTGGACATCCTATGCAAATGGAGAGGATATTTTCTGTCATAGCTGAAGTGTTTCCATTTGATTTAGTTCTAGGAAGTCCTTAGATTCTCTGCTTCCAGATCCTATTCTGCCTCACTTTGATTGCCTTTTTTTTTGAGACAGGGTCTGATGGCTCACTGCATCCTCAACTTTCTGGGCTCAAGGGATTCTCCCACCTCAGTTTCCCAATTAGCTGGAAATACAGGCATGAACCATCATGCCTGGTTAATTTTTGTATTTTTATAGAGATGGGGTTTCACCATGTTGCCCAGGCTGGTCTTTCTTTCTGTTTTTTTTTTTTTTTTTGAGACGGAGTTTCAGTCTTGTTACCCAGGCTGGAGTGCAATGGCGTGATCTTGGCTCACTGCAACCTTCACCTCCTGGGTTCAGGCAATTCTCCTGCTTCAGCCTCCTGAGTAGCTAGGATTACAGGCACGCGCCACCATGCCCAGCTAATGTTTTGTATTTTTAGTAGAGACGGGGTTTCACCATGTTGACCAGGATGGTCTCGATCTCTTGACCTCGTGATCCACCCACCTTGGCCACCCAAAGTGCTGGGATTACAGGCTTGAGCCACCGTGCCCGGTCCCAGGCTGGTCTTGAATTCCTGGGCTCAGGCCATCTGCCTGCCTTGGCCTCCCAAAGTCCTGGGATTGCAGACATGAGCCATTGCCCCAGGCCTGATTTCCTTCTAGGTCCTGCTATGTCATTTTAGGTTATAGCAGTCAGGTTGGAATTGACATATTACTGTCACAAAGAGTATTTTCTGTCCATTTTAGGCTATTTCTTTCTTTCTTTTTCTTTTTTTTTTTTTTTGAGAGAGTCTTGCTGTCACCAAGTGCCAGGCTGGAGTGCAGCGGCGAGATCTCAGCTCACTGCAACCTCCGCCTCCTGGTTTCTCGAAATTCTCCTGCCTCAGCCTCCCGAGTAGCTGCGACTACAGGTGCATGCCACCACACCCAGCTACTTTTTGTATTTTTAGTAGAGATGGGGTTTCACCATGATTGCCAGGACGGTTTATCTCCTGACCTCATGATCTGCTTGCCTCGGCCTCTCAAAGTGCTCGAATTACAGGTGTGAGTCACCACACTGGGCCCCTAAGCTTTTGTGAGCTGGAACCTCCCTTCCCTGGTCCTTATAACCGACCCTGCCCTCCGCAAGACAGTAAAGTACCATAAAAAGGAAAAAGCTGGGCAGGGGCTCAGGCCTGTAATCCCAGCACTTTCGGAGGCGGAGTCAGGCGGATCACTTGACGTCAGGAGTTTGAGATCAGCTTGGCCAAATGATGAAACTCCGTCTCTATTAAAAATACAAAAATCATCGAGGTGTAGTGGCTCACGCCTGCACTCCGGCCTGGGCAACAGAGACTACATAACAAACAAAAAAAAAGGAAGGAAGTTGAGGTCAAGGGAGGCCTTGAGGCCATCCAATTAGGGAGCTGAAATCTGCTAGGGAAGGTAGCTTCAGGGAAGGGTGAGATGACAGGAATCTTCTCCTCATAAAAGCAAGTAATTTGCCATCTGGCAGCTTTGATTCCAGTTTTTGGAGAGCTGGGGCTGGTCGGGGTGAATGCCTGCTTTTCTTTCTCTGGAAAAGAAAAAAGAGGTTTCTCAGGTGTGTCTCCCTGGGGAGGCTGCCCACAGGAGGCGGAGGCTGGGAAGATAGAAAAACAGTCTCCCACCTGTAAGACAGATGACCTGTGAGCCAAGCTCTGGGTTGGTGATCACCTCTCTGCTGGCCCAGCCCTGTTGCCAGGCCCAGGTTGGGCTTTGCTGGGCACAGTGACTGCCCACCTGTTTCCAAGCTCATCCTCCAGGTTCAGGATGAAGCCTGGGGAAGGCTTGGAGCTGCTTCCTCTTTCTTAGGGAGACCCCACAGCTCTGCAGCAAGCAATCCACCGGGCCACCAGATCCCCACCCTTCAGGGAGAAGCAGCTTGGGTAACCGAGAGGCCCAGAGGGGAGCTCTGGCTGGACTTGGCTTCCCAGCCTGGGGTTAGGGCTCAAAGGTTTGCTTCTCTGCTTTGCAGGGAACTGGCTGGAGGCTTGTGCAAGACTCTTCACCTCTCAGGGTTTCGGTTCCCCCACCCGCTCCCCGCTTTGTCCTTTTTTCTTTTTTAAAAAAGGAAGTAAAGTACCGTGGGCAGCGGGCCAAGCTGGCGACCTGAGATATCCAAGCCCCCCCCACCACTCCCCGCAACTGTGGGGAGGGGAACAGCATCCGGCTTCGCCCAATCCCGCCTCTCCGAGCGGGGATGCAGTTGGGGCGTTTCTGGAGATAGGATCAAGTTCTTTAGAAAAGAAGAGGAAGGAGCTAGATCTGGACATTCCAGAGGGAATGCGAGTAAGAAAAAAAAAGGGGCGGGGGAGAAGAGGAAAGGGTCTGGAGAAAGGCGGCCTGGGTTAGGGGAGGCGATTGACAGGAATGAGGGGGGCAGAGGCCTTGGAGGTGAGGGGGCGAGGGGTTAGGCGCCAGCGAGGACAGAGGAGCCATTGTGCGGCCTGGAACCCGGGCCAGAGGGCTTTGCCCTCCGCCTCCCTCCCGCGGGGTGGGGGGGCCTTCCAGAGCTAGGAGGGGAGCTGGGGCCCAGAGGCTGCAGGATAAAGAGCCCAGCATGCTGCCCCGCCCCCCTTCGCCAACTCAGCTTCCAGTCAGCCTCGCCCCCGCCCGCTCCATGGATTCAGGGCTGGTGGCAGTGGGCCTGGAGCCACAGGAGCCGACCTTTCTGGGGCTCCAGGAGGAAAAATAAAAGGGGGACCAGGTGGGCTTTATCACTACGAACTCACAGGGCTTCCCTGTGCCTCAGTTTCCCCTCTTCAGACTGGCTAACGACGGAGCTTTTCAGACGTGGTGGAAATGCTCTCCGGAGCGGGCAGTAGAAGGGGAAGGCTGCCCCAGCTGGTCTCCGCAGCCAGTCCCCTCCGAGGCTGAGATTTCGGGGAGCACTGCCCCCGACTCGCCATCTTCTGCGCACCAAAGTCCAGATCTGGACCCTATCCTCGTTGGAGGGAGGAGGGGGAAAGGAAGAGGAGAGGAAAGGAGCGGACCGATCTGGTCCTGGGCTGCCGCGCAGAGCCTCCTTCTCCCGCAGCCGCTCGCGTCCCCGCAGCGCAAGACCGCGGCACTGCGGCTGCAGCGCTTCCTCCCCCGCCCGCGCCGCATTCCTGAGGGGAGGGGGCGGGGGGCCCGGAGGTGCAGGACCCGACCTTAGCGGACGCGCGCCGCAACGCCAGGAATCGGGGATGACGCCCGTGCTCCCTCCCCTCGTTCCTGTTTCTCGGAGTTCTTCGACCCGTGAGCGCGTCGTTGAGTCACCTCCCCGAACGCGCTCGGGACGCTCCGGACCCAGTGGGGACCGCTGGGAGTCCCAGCAGGGCGAAGGCGCACTCGCCGAGACGCGCGCGCAGCTGCGGCCCCAGGGACCCCGCATCCCTGTCTGTGCCCCCGCCCCGCCCGGGGAATCCCGGGTCCCGCGTGTCTGGCCTCCCAGCTGTTGGAAAACCGGGCCGAGCCGCCTGGGTCCTCCCGAAGAGAAGACACCAAGAAGGCGTGCCCGAGTTCAGGGCGCTGCCCGGCTAATTGGCTGCGCGCTCCTCCCGGACCTGCCCCTTCTCGACTTTAAGAAGCCCTGAGAGAGGTGTGTGGGGGCGGGTGGGGCTGGCAGGGCCGGGCGAGCCCCGCAGCCTCGCGCAGGGACTTCGTTTCTCCTAACTCTCATCCTACCTGGGCAGGTCACCAATGGGCCTTGGCAACTTCTTCCTAATTCGAGGTGCTCGCGGACACGTTCTGTGGCTTGCCGCGCGCGCTAAGTGTATCACAAACACACGGACAAACGCGTCCTCACTGGCCTCCAAGGAGGTGACAACTTCTGAGCGCGTTTCCGGTGCCCCTTCTTCACGAGGAGCTAGAAGGGGCGGGGGACACGCCTCCATGCTCGGCTTTCCTATCCCGACGGGAGCCCTTGGGCCCATCTGCACTGTCACGGCTCCTCTCCGACTCGGAGCCTCCGGCCGGTCGCCTGCTCTGCCCGGGAAAGCGCGCTAGGCGGCCTCGGGCTCGGTGGCCCAGCTGCAGCGTTGGGAAGTTAAAAATAACCTCCGCGGGAGAGCGGAGGTGGAAGAAAGAGGGAAGCCCGCGAGCGGCGGGCGAGACGCCCCGGCATGAAGGAGGCGCCCCGGGTGGCGTTCGGGCCTCAAATTCCGGGTGGGCTGGGGCCGGGGCGCTGCAACTCGGCGCGGGCAGCACCCGGGGCGGCGAGGTCGCGGCGTCGAGGTGAAGCCAAGGGTCCCCAAGGAGAGCGGAACCGCGCGCGCCCGGCGTTCGCTCCCACACGAGTTCGCGTGGAGCCCGCGCCTCTGCTTGCGCTGCGCGGTCACTTTCGCGCGCCCCAGACGCTGTCCTCGCGGCCGGGCCCGGACTCCCTGCCTCCTTGCCTGTCGCCGCAGCTCAGCCTGCAAGGCCGCGGCGCCGCCTTCTCGCCAAACAGACGCTTAGGATGCCTAGGACGAGCGGCGGGGGCGCGCGACCACGTCGTGTGACCCGGGCGGGAGCCCGCGCGTGGCACGGCTGCGGGCGCGGGCCGTGCCGGAGGCGGCGCTCTGAGGCCGGGGGCGGGCGGGGCCGACGCCGCGCGGCGCTCAGGTTCCACCCCCGGGAGCGCGGGGCGGAGCCAGGCCGGCGCCTAGGTTTCGCACCGCGGCGCCGGCTGCGAAGTTGAGCGAAAAGTTTAAGGCCGGAGGGAGCGAGGCCGGGGAGTTCGCTCCAGCGGGGCGCTCTAGTCCCTCAGACGTGGGCTGAGCTTGGGACGAGCTGCGTTTCGCCCCAGGCCCCTGTAGGGAACGGCAGTGGAGCCTCCCCAGCAAACCGGACCGACTGGGTAGGGCCGGCCACCCTCCCTTCGCGCCGCTCGTGGCTCCTGTGGGGCCCGCCCTCGCGGGGCCCCGGGGAACTGGGCCACTCGTCGCTTGGGCGAGAGCAGGCGGCAGCTGATGGCCCGGGTCAGGCTCGGCACTCGGGCGACCCGAGAACGGCTCCTCCGAGCGCCGCGCGCGTCCCAAGGCCACGGCCCGCGCCGCGGCTCCCACCGCTCTGGAGCTCCGGGCAGGGGACGCGGCATCCCGGCTGGCTGAAGCGGGGATCCTCGCCCAGAACTTCGTGCCGGGCAATGTCCACCCAAGTTCTGGGATTTTTACGCAGCTGGGCTCCCCTCCCCCTGGCAGCAGTCCCGAGGGGTGAGGAGCTAGTCCGTCGGAGAGAGCCGCGGGGCTCTGACTCATCCGTCGGGCCGGAACCCCAAGCCCCAGGAAGGAAAGGCGCGGAGCAGGCACCCTTCGCCTCGGGGGTTGGGGGGCCTATTCACATGACGGGGGCGCCCTCGGAGGCACCAGACCTCAGCTCTCTGATCTCCCGGGAACCTAGGTCACCGCCCCACGGGCTTCGGGCGATGTGGGATCGCGTGGCTCCCCGCCCTTGGTCCCGGGATTTAGCCGGGCGCTCCCCACCTCTGGGAGCCTCGGCCCGGGACTCCGCCAGCGCCGTCTTCTCCTCTCCCTCAGATCCAGCCGCCGCAGGGAATGACGCCGGTGCTCCCACAGCCCTGGCTCCAGGCGGGGAGGGCGAGCCCTACAGCCGGCCCTGCGACGCCCGCCTGGGCAGCACCGATAAGGAGCTGAAGGCAGGAGCCACCGCCACGGGCAGCACCCGGACAGCGCCGGGGACCCCCTGGCAGCAGGAGCCGCGGGTTATGGATCCAGGTTTGTGGAGTGCCTGCTGGGAAGGGCTGTAGGGGGATTCCTCTTCCGCGCCAGGAATGATGATGGAACGCCCAGCTGGACGAAAGGGGCTGTGGACGCCCGGGAGAAACACTGTCCCTCACGAGGCCAGAAGCCGGCCGAGTCTGAGCCAAGGAAGGGGATGGCAGGGGCCCCGCGTCCCCACCCCAGGGCTCCCCGCGGAGGCCGCTCCTCTGGCCGGGGCAATTACCCGGGTGTTAAGGGCACCAGGTTCCCACACCAGCGCCCCTTGTCGTTACCCGTAGCCCCCTAGTGGCCGGTTGCGGACGCGGCCTCTTCGGCTTTGTTTTTTCAGCGGGCGGCCCCCGGGGCCTGCTCCCGCGGCCGTGCCGCGTGCTGGTGCTGCTGAACCCGCGCGGGGGCAAGGGCAAGGCCCTGCAGCTCTTCCGGAGTCACGTGCAGCCCCTTCTGGCTGAGGCTGAAGTCTCCTTCACGCTGATGCTCACTGGTGAGTGCTTCTCGGAGGCGGTTCCGGGAGCATCCCCTGTTAGGGGACCCCCTGTTAGGGGACCCCCGGTCCTGAGAGCTGCCCGTCCCCCTGCAGAGCGGCGGAACCATGCGCGGGAGCTGGTGCGGTCGGAGGAGCTGGGCCGCTGGGACGCTCTGGTGGTCATGTCTGGAGACGGGCTGATGCACGAGGTGAGGTCCGCACCGCGCGGCTTGGCTTGGGACTTGGCGCCGTGCGTCCCGGGCTGAGGCCACATGTGCTCCAACACAGGTGGTGAACGGGCTCATGGAGCGGCCTGACTGGGAGGCCGCCATTCGGAAGCCCCTGTGCAGCCTCCCGGCAGGCTCTGGCAACGCGCTGGCAGCTTCCTTGAACCATTATGCTGGGTGAGAGCCCAGGGCCAGAGTGGGCCTGCTTCTCCTCTGTGCCCCTCTCCTGTGGGTTTTTTTGGTCTAAGTTCCCATGGGTCGAGGTCGCTTCCATTCTCCCTCTCCCTTCGCCCTGGGGCCCTCTCCTGGTGACCCCAGCTGGCTGCTGCCACTTGCTCCTTCTGTCACCTACTGCTCCCGCCAACTCCCTAGGGATGACATGACGCTTTGCCAGCTCCCACTCCCCAGGAGGAGGAAGAGGGGATACCTGGGGGGCTCCTGCCCTGCTTCATCTGACCATTTTCCCTTGCAGCTATGAGCAGGTTACTAATGAAGACCTCCTGACCAACTGCACGCTGCTGCTGTGCGGCCGGCTACTGTCGCCCATGAACCTGCTGTCACTGCACACGGCTTCAGGGCTGCGCCTCTTCTCTGTGCTCAGCCTGGCCTGGGGCTTCATTGCTGACGTGGACCTAGAGAGTGAGAAGTATCGGCGCTTGGGGGAGATGCGCTTCACTCTGGGCACCTTCCTGCGCCTGGCAGCCCTTCGAACCTACCACGGCCGACTGTCCTACCTCCCTGTAGGAAGAGCTGACGCCAAGACACCCGCCTCCCCCGTTGTGGTCCACCAGGGCCCGGTAGATGCACACCTTGTGCCACTGGAGGAGCCAGTGCCCTCTCACTGGACAGTGGTGCCCGACCAGGACTTTGTGCTGGTGCTGGCACTGCTGCACTCGCACCTGGGCAGCGAGATGTTTGCGGCACCCATGGGCCGCTGTGCCGCTGGCGTCATGCATCTGTTCTACGTGCGGGCAGGCGTGTCTCGGGCTATGCTGCTGCGCCTCTTCCTGGCCATGGAGAAGGGCAGGCATATGGAGTATGAATGCCCCTACTTGGTATATGTGCCTGTGGTCGCCTTCCGCCTGGAGCCCAAGGATGGGAGGGGTGTGTTTGCAGTGGACGGGGAACTGATGGTCAGCGAGGCTGTGCAGGGCCAGGTGCACCCAAACTACTTCTGGATGGTCAGTGGTTGTGTGGAGCCCCCGCCCAGCCAGAAGCCCCAGCAGACACCACCTCCAGAAGAGCCCTTATGACCCCTGGGCCATGCTGTGCCTTAGTGTCTACTTGTAGGACCCTTCCTCCTTTCTTAGGGCTGCAGGGCATGGTCACAGCTCCTGTGGGGTGGAGGGGACTCCTCTGGAGAAGGGGAAGAAGGTGCAGGCTGTGCTTTGGGAGGACAGGCCAGAACAAGGTCCTGGGTCAGGAGCCCAGCTGGCTGGGCCCAGCTGCCTATGTAAGGCCCTCCAATTTGTTCTAAGACTGTCATCCCATGAGTCAAATCCAAATAAAGTGATGTTCCCAGCCTGCTGGTCCTGTCCTGGTGAGTGGGAAGGGAATGGGGTCTCACCTCAGCCAGGATTATGGAAGTTAATGTTAACAATAGCCAATACTGCCCCCAGGGATGGGCAATGGATGTTACTGGCCCCAGACATTCTGTTGTGGGACTCAGGACCACAGCTGGTTCAGCCTAATGGTGGGGGCCTCTCTCACCCTGATAATTTATAGCACCTCCACCCTGAAGCAGCCTCAGAGCTCAGCCAGCTGCCTGACCATCTGAGGGACGATGGCGTGTCTTAGCTAGGGCCACACAACTAGCTAGTCCCAGCAAATCTCATCAGAGACCATTTAGCAGGAGAGGGAAAATGTCTTGAGCTCAGGGCATGAGGGAATTGGTGGGCCAGGTGCCGTGGCTCATACCTGTAATTCCAGCACTTTAGGAGGCCGAGGTGGGTGGGTCACCTGAGCTCAGGAGTTTGAGACCAGCCTGGGCAACATGGTGAAACCCGCCTCTAGAAAAAATACAAAAATCAGCAGGGTGTGGTGGTGGGCACTTGTAGTCACAGCTACTTGGGAGGCTGTGGCAGGAGAATCGCTTGAGCCTGGGAGGTTGAGGCTGCAATGAGCTGAGATCATACCACTGCATTCCAGCCTGGATGACAGAGTGAGACTGTCTCAAAAACAAAAACAATAAAAACACTGCCACCTACCCTGCAAAATTGGTAAGGAGCAAGAGACTTCAGAAGTAAAAAAACGGCAGTATCTTACCCTTTTTAAAAAAAAAAAAAAAATACCATCTTGGCTCACTGCAATCCACTTCCTAGGTTCAAGCAATTCTCCCAATCAGCCTCCCGAGTAGCTGGGATTACAGATGCCTGCCCACCATGTCCAGCTAATTTTTGTATTTTTAGTAGAGATGGGGTTTCACCATGTTGGCCAGGCTGGTCTCAAACTCCTGACCTCAGGTGATCCACTTGCCTCTGCCTCCCTAAGTGCTCGGATTACAGGTGTCAGCCACCACAATGGCCAGTATGTTACCTTTTTAAAAGGAGTCTGCCATCCCCCACAATGAGGGGTCTAGGGTTCCCCCAGCCTCCCTCAGCTGCCTCCCTTCCCCACTTGTCCTTATGGAGGAGTGCCAAGCAGGAGTGGAAAAGATGCAGCAGGGAAGGATTGACGCCAGTCTCCTAAACTGGGCAGCCATTTTGGCTTAGGGCCCAGGAGCTGTGGCACCTGTTAGCCAGGTGCTATGATGTCGGCTCTCCTAGAATCTGGAAGGAGCTGAACTGGATGAACTGGTCAATTGTAGGCCTCTGGGGACCACAGCTGCAGGAAGACTGCTCTAAGCTGGCTCTTGAGGAGCACAACAGCAGCCAGAAGAGGCCAGAGGACTACCCCAGGACAGGAAGTGCAAAAGGCGGGCAAGCAGACCTGGCGGGTGGAGGGCGGGGGTGGGGTGGTGGTGCCGAAGCCAGGACCCACTGCCATATGCCTTCCCTGGCAACAGGCTCTTTCCTTCCCCAGGAAGGGTATGTGTGAGGGACACAAGCACACAGTGCCCCAGAGAGGAAGAAAGGCAACGGAGCCCAGATGAATGGCAGAGGCAGGTTTAATGGTGTCACCTTGTCTTGTTAATGAGCCAACCAAAAAAAAAAAAAAAAAAAAAAAAAAAAAAATGCAAGTAAAAAAAAGTTTAATCACACAGCACTTTATACAGATAGTGTAAGCAGTAGGCATTCACATCTCCACATGTACAATGCACTGGGAAGCTCAGCCCCACCAATCACTCTGGGTGTTTCTCAAATAAGATACTGACTCGGCTCCAAATGCCACGGCACGTGGCCTGGCTCCGTCCTCCCGCAGCTCTGCTGGCTGGGCGGTCACAGCACAGCACAGGTGTGGAGCCCACTTAAGGCTGACAAGACGCATCATGCTTTGGCTTTTTTTTTTTTTTTTTGTCTTTTTTTCTAATAAGAGTTAATATCTTTGCTTTCGAGCTTTTTTTCCCAACCTTAAATATTACATACATACACCAAAAATTACATAGCTGCAATGTGCTCAACAGCATCCTCTTGGCCTGGAGCTTCACATTATCAAAAGCTTAGAAAACTTGTAAACCTCTGGGCCTGTCTCTGGGCACTAGGAGAGCCCCTGCGGCCATCCCCTTTTGGATTGAGCCTGCAGTTTGTAAGCAAAGGGCTGACAGCAGGCCTCCTTCTAGTCCAAGAGAGGGCTGGCTCGCTCGGAGTTCAGTGAGCTGCACGCCACATCCCAGTGTGACCATGTGATGGGGGAGAGGCCCTAGCACTTGTCCTCGTCTTGTGCAGCTGCTCTGGCCCCAGCAGCCTCCAACAGAAGAGCAAGGCACCTACAGCTGTTGCTTTCCCCACAGCTCCCTGGTCCTCAACTCCATGTGCATATGTGAAGGCCACTACCTCTAATGGGTGTCACCCCGAACCCAGCCTGGTCCCAACCTCTCTTAGAGAGCAAGTTCAACAGGCCTGGGGGCTACAATGTGGTAGACAGGCCAGTGTAGAGCTGGGAGTCAGTGACAGCAGCTACAACTCCCAAGGGATAGTGTTGACGCTGGGGGACTAGGGAGGAGGACCTGGTGGTGGTGGCAGCAGGAGGGTTTGGGACACAGGGAGGCTCAAGTTGAACTGAAGAGGCTGAAAAGGACCAGGGGAATTGTTGGTGCAACCCACACTTCATGCAAGGCACATCTGCTCTCCTGCGGGTCTGCAGGGCACCGGCCCAGAGAGCCCAGTGGCAGGCCCTGGAATACCCGCCTCTGACCTGAGAAGGGACAGCAAGGGAGCAAGTGCCGGGACATTCTGCTGGGGTGACAAATGGAAAATCAGCAACAAGGTTCAGATTTTCTTTGCCACAGGGGACCCGCCTGTTGAAATCTTGCTTCAGAATAAACGGCGGCATCTCAGCACACTTCTTGTACTTCAGCATCAAACTCACCTTGGGGAGAAGAGGGCAGTGAGGGCTTGCAGTGGGGACAGAGGGGCATGGGAAGAGGGCGATTCCGGGGGGAGTGAGCAGACAGCGGCTGGCCTCTCCCACGGTGATGCTCCTTCCTCTGTACCTGGCACCTACTTGTCCTCTGTGCACTCCGGCATGCCTGCCTCTAGCAGGGCAGCCCGGAACTGCATCAGGACACCCCGGATGCTCTTGATGAAACCCTTGGAAAGCGGGAAGAGGGGGAAGCCGATGTCAGGGTAGCCACTCTTCTCAGGTAAGAAGCTCCGGTAGCTCTTTCTCCGCTTCTTTGGTTTGACACTGGGCGGCACCGATGTGTCCGGTGCGGTCTCCGAAGTCTGGTCTGTGTGGTCCCTGCTAGCTGAGGCTGGGCCCTGGGCACCGCCCTCTGAGTCTGAGCCCTGGGAGGCCTCTCCTGGGCCTGGCCCTCCATCCTCAGGTTCTTGTTGGCCGGAGTCTGAGAGTTCGGCTATAGCTGGGGGCTCTGGAGAGCAGCTGGCCTTGGGGACCCCGTTAGGCAGAGCCTGGGCCCTCTCCAGCAGGGCGTGGGTTTCCAGCCAGGACTCGATGCGGTTCACCAGCCGCCAGCCACCAGTGCTAAAGTGTTGCCTGATCTCCTGCTCAAAGACCTCAGGGGGCCGCCGCACCAGCTGGGTCATGGACTGCACCACACGGATCAGTGCCATCTCATTGTAGCAGCGACTGTTCTCATAGCCTTCCTGCAGGCCCCGGTCACTGTCGAAGCCGGCTTCGTTGTAGTATGGTTCGTTCACCAGGATCAGACCTGTGGGAAAGGGACACCCTCCCACAGTGGGTGGGAGAAGCCCACGGCGCAGGCCTACCCTCCACCCTCCAGGGATCCATCAGTCACTTCCCTCCACTGGCCCTCCCTGTCTGCACCCCTGCTTCAGCCCAACTGTACCTTGGATGGAGATGAGCACCTGGAGAAGGCTGGACTTGCTTGTCCACCTCTCTGTCCCCTGAAACACACAGGACACCATCAATTCTGTTCCCCCAGCCCCTATCCCCAACTGGCTCTTCCTCCTTCTTGGCTGGGGCCTGGCACTACACTCACCTTTCCAATCCAGGTGCCCAGGAGGCTGACGCACACCTTCCCATTGTCATACAGGTTGGGGTTCAGGCGGCCACTGCACTGGGAGAGGTAGCAGAAGTGGGGGGGCACGGCTGGGTAGATGTTGGGGAGCTGAATGTCAAACAAGTAGAGGCCGTCCTCATAGGGGGTTCGAGTGGGGCCCTTGATGAGGGCTGAGAAGAGGTCCTATGTAGGGAGGGAGGGAGGCTGAGGTTGGCAGGGTGTAAGGGGGGTGTCCTGCATGTGGTATCTGCATCTGCCCTTTCCCAAGACACTGTGCAGATGAAGCAGGAAGGGCACCTGGGACTCCAGATGCCACCAGCAGTGGAGAAGCTAAGCACAAATACCTCTGTGCCAAACTGCCTGGAATCTTTTTTTTTTTTGGAGACAAGGTCTTATTCTGTTGCCCAGGCTGGAGTGCACTAGTGCAATAATGGCTCACTGCAGCCTCCCAAGTAGCTGGCACTACAGTGTGTGCCACCATGCCTGGCTGATTTATTTTTTGTAGAGACAGGGTCTCACTATGTTGCCTAGGTTGGTCTCAAACTCCTGGGCTCAAGTGATCCGCCTGGCTCAGTCTCCCAAAGTGCTGGGTTTACAGGCATGAGCCACTGTGCCTGGTCCTTAACTGGAATCTTTGAACCCTGGCTAAGAGAAATATTCGAAATGAGTTTTTATCTTATCAAGTGGTTTTCCTCATAAATCATTACTTTAAAATTGTATTCCTCAGCCAGATGTGGTGGCTTATACCTGTAATCCCAGCACTTTTGTGAGGCCAAAGTGGGAAGACTTGAGGCCAGGAGTTCAAGACCAGCCTGGGCAACATAGTGAGACCCTATCTCTACAAAAAATACAAAATTAGTTGGGCATAGTGGTGCACACCTGTAATCCTAGCTAATCAAAGTGGAAGGATCACTTGAGTCCAGGAAATTGAGGTTGCAGTGAGCT